AACTCCGGTCCATACTTTCGATTTTGGGATTATGACTGTTTTTAGTGCAGTCAGCGTCCCTGAATTGAAAGGTGTAATTTTTTTTCTCGTTATTGTGCGTAGCTTTAAAGATATCGACGTCTCAAAGTTGTGTTTGGGGCGCGGCCGACAAAACCGAAACTAGCCGCTCGAGGTTCCGGCAACATTGGAAATCAGCCGCTATGTGGACGTGACGTCATGGTCGTTCTCGTTCAACGAGCACGCAGGCCAAGCGACACCCACGGCAATCTCTGTTGCGCTAGCCGTCTAAAAATAGAAGGTAAGCTGATTTTGTTTTAATTCTGCATACGTGGTAGTTATCCAGCACATGTAGCAAGAGCTAGTGAGTATACCCAAAAGCTAGCGACTGGAACACCCGTCAGCTCGTTCGGTGCCGTGCTCGGCGGCTGCCGCCGTGCGTGCGCTATACCGTGCCGTACTCGTCACTTGTATACCCAAAAGTTAGCGACTGGAAAACGAGTGAACTCGTTCGGTGCGTACTCGGCAGCTATCGGCGTGCGTGCGGTCTCACGTATTCGTCGCTAGGCCTAAAGTGTCATCGGGAGTCCGTGGAAGGAGCGGCGTTGATCTACGCCGCGCTGCCAGTGACGTACAGTACTGGGGGCCCTCTTGCTTTCGCGCTGCGGGTCAGCCCCAGACACAAAGCTTTGACGCTCTCCGGCGCGGGCCGCGACACTTGAACAGACGTGTGCTAAGCTGTAGACGTCTGTTTTTTCGTTATTTTTTCCTCAGGCGCGTAAAAGCCGAATTTTTAAGCTATGACACTAATTCACCACGTAAGTTCGTCTAGGTACCATTGGCGTCACAAGGGGGGGGCGGGGGGGGGGGGGGGGGGGCGGGGAGGGGTGGAGAGGGGAGTCGCGGCAGGCCGCGCGAGAGCGGAGGGGGGGGGGGGGGGGGGGGGTGTCGCGGCGGGCTACCGCCCCGGGTGCCGCTGACCCTCGTGACGCCACTGCTAGGTAGTGAATCTAATTTGTAAAAATAAAATAACTTGTCGCACTAAAAAAAGAAAAGAAAGTTCTTTGGGCAGTCATTTTCTTCTCAAAGCTAGCGAAAGTTTTTGTGGGTGATAGAGGAAAACAGAGAACGTTAGCAAGGTGAGAACACTTTCTTTCCCTTCCACATTCCCCCCCCCCCCCCCTATAACAATTTTTTTTATTGGAATACGTAGGATCTTAAAAGTTTTCCTTCGTAACTTTTTGACTAAGGCAAGTGATTTTTTTTTATTTTTGCATTTTTAAATATTATATTTACCTCCAGCCGAACTCGGGTAAATTAGAGTTGTAACTTACAAATCCGAACTTTCGCGATTTTTTGAAAGTCCTTTGTGGTATCCACAAGCCCAGTGTTAATTAATACTGCTGCGTAACGCGTTCGAACGATTGGGAGGCGAATGTTTATACCGCATAAGCTTCACGCGCCGGCTGTTCGCTAGTAGTCGTTACGGACCTTGTATTACTCACGAGATAGCGTAGTAAACAAGCAGTGGCACAAAGCAGAACATTCTGTTTTCCTTTTCATTATAAGCCACCAGCAACCAACACCCGTAGGTTTCGTTCGTAACTCTCCGGCGAAAAATGATCGGAGCAGAGCTTCGATCTGGGGGTCGGTGTCCAAGGCTTTCCAAAGTCCACTCGTCGAACAGCGTTCACCCACAGCTTCTCCAATTTCCGATCCGTTGGAAACTTGTGAAAAAGCACCTCCGGGTTGCGCAGCGGGTTGTTTGAGCAGCCCACAGCGCTACAAGTTGTACTCGGCATCTTTCGAGGAAGAGCTGGGCAGTCTTGGGCGCACCGAGCTGCTCGCTAAAACGAGTCTTGGAGTCCTCACAAGCAAATAAACAAGAGGCTATACCGAAGTTACACGGGCTACAGATAAAAGCAACGTAATCCCAAGCCGAAGTAGCGGTGGTAGCGGCACAAAGAAGCGCGCGCAACGGGTGCGCCGTGCGCCCGTTCGGAACGGAGAAAAAAAAAAAAAAAAAAAAAAGAGAACGACTATTGCGTCACGGTCCAATGTTGCTTGAGGGATCGGCAGTGGCTCGCGGCGGGTCGCATTTTTATTATCGGCATTAGTTGAGAATGCGGCGTCCCACGGGCGTAATATTTTGGCTGGGGTCGTATTTTGTGTCACTAAAGCGATACCAGCAATTTAATTCATTTTGAGTTTTGGCCGGAGTTGCCCTTTAAAGGGCCCTGCAATCATATTTAAGCGTCCACCTTTTTTGCGGTTTCCACGTCTCTTGGGGCTCAGGCAATCCAGCGGGCACGGAGAGAGTAACTAAATATCAGTGCGTCATATTTTAACCGGACGACGCGGAAACCTCCTCCACCGACGAGGGCGACCCGCGGTACCGAAAGCGCGCAAAATGTGACGTCGTTGGTCCTAGGCTTACTACTGGTCAGAGCCGCTAAAAGCTTCTCTTTAGTCGAAATACAAAATATAAGTGGCGCGAACCGTTTCAATTTTTTTATAAAAGTTGTTTTTGTTCAGTATTTTAGATCAAAAAAGAAACGAATGCAGTTCATAAAGTACGGAAACAAGAAATGACCCGTCGGCATACCCGCCACCAAGCGGTGGAAAAGGCGGCACATACTAGAAAGGAGTAGTGGGATCAGGCGCCGACACGGAAAGGTCACGGATGTACGCGGCGGCGCTGCGGTCATTTGGGCAGGAGGATCCGAGCGGCTCCGAGCGTTCCGAAGGCCTTCGGCGAGAAGCTTTGTCTTGCGGTTTGGCCGTTTCGCGGTATGGCAGCGCAAAGTAGCTCCCATTCTAAACTGATCTTTATCCCGTGTTTGCTGTCGTTTGTGGCCAACGAAGTGTCATGCCGAATTAGTATTTAATCGCGCAGCAAATGCAATGAGAGCCTCTCTGGCTGCCCGCTGCATGCAGCCTATCCAGAACAGGCTTCAATGGCGCCCTCTCGCGCCGTCGACTCGGAGTGCGGCAGCCGTGAGCGCTCGGTAAGCTCACTACTCCTCCTCTAGTTCACGGCCACTCTCAAGCAACCAAGGACGTCATGAGGGAGGTTATTTTTTGCTTGTTTTTGCAATTTTAGTTTGCCTGTAACTTCTAAAATAAAGAGAATTTCGAGAAAAGAAAAGTTTCACTAAATTACTATGTTCAGTGCGCTCAGGTTCGGTGCAAATTAAAAATTAGTAAAAAAGTCATTGCAGGGCCCCTTCAAGAACAGATACAGCGGAAGAGGTTACAGGAGAGCCACCCCCGTCTCCCCGGCGGACGCGCCGCGTCGAACTAACGAAGTTAAAATGCACCTAGGTCGAGACGCGCTACCTGAAAGCCCCGCTGAGGCATGGTTGTACAAAAACAATATGAATTGTGCCACAAAACCCTGCAAACTAAAGATTTTAAAAACATAACGCGCCCCTCTTTTTGTACTAATCTCCAATAAATTTCATACAAAAAGAGTCTTTTCCGTTTGTTTCTACGCAAAAACGGGCTTTCAAAAAGCTCAAGGTGACCACAGTACAGACAAACGATAAAGAGTGGCGCTGTTGTCGCATTTAGCTCGGTCTCGGTGGACGCCAGCGGCCCAGGTTTCGACGGCGAGTTTCCCAACTGAGTGTTTTAGTAACGTTGACTGAGACGATGACAGTGATCAGTTGCCAGACTGAATTTCAAAAAAGTTTATTCTAGGCACTGTAGTGCATATTTCTCTTGTGAGCTTCCAAACTTTAATATTCAAATAGTGTCCGTCGACACTGCAAAAAAAAAAAAAAAGATTGAGGTAGACCTAAGCATTCCTTACGAGTTGTGAATGCGAAAGCATGCAAGCCGCTCATCCGCTCCCTTTTTCGTCTGCTGCATACTTTCTGTCGCCGGTCGGAGTGTGTGCACCCCTGGTGACCTCGGACGCTCCGCGCTGATGGACACGCAGTGCCATGGGGTGAGCAATCGTGGAAACTGACGAGCGCAGCGGCCAATGGGAGCCCTGTCAATGCGCATTAGCCAAGGGAACCGAAGGAAACGATCTGCCGGTTTCGCGCTTCCGAGTGATGACATCAGCTCGCTCCATGGGACCAGTTAATACTTTCACATTAATAATGCTCTTACCTGGCTTTAGCTGGTATGGAGCTGTGCAACAATTTCAGGGCTTTGCTTAAAGCCTTAAACTATCGTGGAAGTTGATGCCTGACACTTCTGAAATGAACTACAAAAAACAGATTTTGCCTGGATAGCCTAGTTTTTATTTAAAAAAATGAAAAAGATCCAGGTCTTTGCCGCCTCTCAACTCGTACGGTATCTTCCGGGTCACGTGCGCAGTGACGTTGATGGGGTAAGCGCGGGGTTCCGGGAAATGTTCTCTTTTCAGAGCCATCAGTGAGCAGCGAGAACTCATCCGCTCGCGACCGCGTGACGACATGCTGGCGGGCGCAGTGCGAACAATGTGGTGAAAGGAAGAAAGTCTCATCCGGGTCCAGCCGTACCCGTCCGGCCGTCCACAAAACTATCAGCAGATGAAGCTGATAGTTTTGTGGACCTAGGATAGATGGCGCCACTAAAACTCCGTATAATAAAGGTTTTGTCGATGATACCAGGTTTTTGACGCATTTATATATATGCTGGAACGACAAGATCTATAGAAAAGTTACCTTTTATCGAGCAGGTATTCGCACAACTTGCTATCTTTCTGCAAGATTCCCCAGTGACGTCACGCCGCGTGTTTCTCATGGCCGCCGCTCGCGGCTGCAGGTCGGTGAATATTCTAAGTTTTGCCTCGCTATTACGCGGCGGAATCGCAACATTTCGATGAAAGGAGGTGTGTTTTCTGTCATTTGTGACAAGGTGAACAATATCAAAAGCAGAAAAATCGTTGCACAGCTCCTTTAAGCCCACCAAAAGAAATTACTGCTCATATTATCCGAATATCGATCAGTACCGCAGATTTTTATCCCATGTGCTTAAATATTAGTCCTGGTAAAGCATTCAAATAAATGTAATGCATACAACCAAAAACATTTATTTTAAAAGAACATGACAAGGGTACAGTGATTCCACCACTCAAATCTGTCACCCCTAGTCAACATGTGTGTAGGCGCTTGCTGGTGGTGATGATAACTTACACAACATAAAAAATGAGAATCAAAAAGCTAGTTCAATGCTTGAACCAACTGTTTGAGAAGTTTCTTTTTCCAACCACAAGTCCCACATGACAAGAACAAGTGTATACATAAATCAACAAATAAAATAAAGTAAAAAGCAATATCCAACCAAAAATGTGTCAATATTAACTCTAGAAACCAACAAGCCCACACAGAGATATTGCATGCTTTCCTATAGTGCACCAACTCCCAACCCCCAAAAGAAAAAGCATTAGAGTTGAACACGTTTAGTGTTTTACCTATAGTTTGCTATTGCCTGCAAAGTACAAGTTGTTAAGAAAAGAAAACTATATATATATTAATGATTTGTTTATGGAAGTGCATAACAAACTTTTTAAACTACAACTATCACAAAATAATACTCATGAAATGCCATTATCACTTGAGAAGCCAAGCCTACGAGAGAATAGAAACCAAGTGACTAGACTGAACACAAATTGCGAGGTTTGTACTCATCCCCAGCTGAAATCAACTCTGCGAAAATTGTTAGAGCTGCCATGATAAACACCAAAAGTTATATAAAAAAACTACTCAAGCCCCCACCCCTTCTTGGAGTGGTGGGGGTGGGGCTGGTGGTATTTTAGGCATGTAAAGGCACATTTACTATTTACTACCAGAACTGCATCAGTTGCATCTGCAGTATGCGTTTTTTTATAGAGGAAACAACACAGTCTCGCTGGACAATCTAGATTTTCATGTGATAAGGGCCCATTTATGGATATTGCACATCATGCACCATACAAATTATTGGACAAGGGCAATTGTTTGGCCATAAAAGACATATTCAAGTCAAAGGAAGAGTAAGAAACAAGTTTGCTGCTAGCATAGCAGCTGTAATGGTAAAATAAAAAAAAATAAAAGTTTTGTAGGGGCAAAATTTTGAGTGGGAGGATCTTAATCACCGAGAAAGCCTTCAGGCAATGCCCCTAAAACAACAAGCAGGCACGGTTTTCTTTACACCTCCAAAAATAACTCTTGAATCCAGTAGTTTCCTACACTGCCCTGTAAACAGGGGTAATTCTTCTCATAAACATGTCTGCGTGAAAATCTTCCTAAACAAGTGATCAGTGTGAAAAGTCCTCCACGGAACACAGAGTGATACCTCTAACCCCGCTACACACGCACACAAAAAGTTCTTCTATATTGCAACTGTGCCACAATCATCAAGAAGTTGACTGAGCAGACTCGTCAGACTGTTGCGCGTCTTGGCTTTGAAAAGCATCCATGGCTTCTTGAATCTTCTCCCGCATTATCTGATATTTAAGTCTTAACTGGCTTAGGTATTCCTCCTCTTCCAAGTCCAGAATCTTCAAAAAGTTTTGTAGCTCTGGTAGTGCAAAGTCCTCCCACTGGATGTGTAGAAGGAGAAAAACAAGGTTGTGTTAATACAGTCCAAGAACAATGGGGTGAAGGGGCAGAAGGTTAAGCCAAAGGTAACTTGTTGCAAATATTACCTCAATGTCACTGTTGTCATTTTCCTGAAGAACAAACTGCTTGGCACGACTGCTCCAGTCCAGTGCAAGCCAGAGTGGCTTTTCAGTATCTTGCAGTTTCCGCAGTTTCACTTTGGCAACGAATGAGACAAAGAATTTTAATGTCGCACAAAGAGAAATTGAAGTTAGGCCATTTACTCATGTATAATCTTGTTTATGCAATGTTAAAGTAATTTACCTACAAAGAAATATATGCATTGAAAAGATGTCATTTCTGGTGACCAAAAATTTGGACTTTGGACATGTTTTTTTCGTTCTGATATTCTGAGTAATATTGGAAAATGTGGACATGCCTTATTTTTAGACATTGACATTTTTGTTTCATTTTATTACTTGAAAAACCTGCATTTATATTCTGTATTCACTCATTGGATAGTGCACTGCCGAAAGTATCTATCTATCTATCTATTATGAGTAGCATAAGGAGTGGAGGCATTACAAATTATTACCTTTCTTATGTAATGGTTAACAAGAAGTATAAGAAACAGGTGCCTGAACAGAAATACACAGTACAGTCCTAGGGGTCCTCCTGAGCAACAGAAATTTACTAAGATCACAGAATGCCCCCAGAGTACCAAGACTTGTAAGTTTTGTTTCAGAAATGTGTTGCTGATAGAACCAGCTAGCCAGCAAGTAAATGCACCTCCATTCTCCTTTAGCTGAAAACAATATAGGAATTGATAAAGAAAGCTCTTCCAACCAGTCAGAATGCACCACCTGTTCAGAGTTCCCACATAAGCATTTTACACACATTTCTTTTTCATTCTCCTCTTCTTCTCCTCCTCCTCCTCCTCCTCCTCCTCCTCCTCCTCCTCCTCCTCCTCCTCCTCCCCCCTCTCCCTCTCTCCCCCCCTCCCCATCTCCAAGAAGGCAGAGGTCAGCAAATCAGAAAGTGAAATCCGCTTGATTCTCCAGTTCTAGTGGATGCTATTAAAAAAACACTCAACTTTCTTAAAGGCCGACGACCAGACTCGAGATTCTGCAAGGCAGAAGACCCTCCTCTCCACGCCTTCGGGCGAGGGAAGCGAAGGATGGAAAGAAGGGACCAAGAGGGGCGGGCGCGGGTGGAAAGGGTAGGAGGGAGAGGAGGAAGCGGGCGAAAAGTGGAAAGCGCGAACTGGTCGTCGGTCTTTAAAGGAGCTGTGCAACAATTTCAGGGCTTTGCTTAAACTATTGTGGAAGTTGATGCCTGACACTTCTGAAGTGAACTACAGAAAACAGAATTTGCCTGGATACCCTAGTTTTTATTTAAAAAAATGAAAAAGATCCAGGTTTTTGCCGCCTCTCAACTCGCACGTCGTTTCAGGGTCACGTGCGCAGTGACGTCGATGGGGTAGGTGCGGGGTTCCGGAAAAGTTCTCTCTTTAGAGCCATCAGTGAGCAGCGAGAACTCATCCGCTCGCGACCGCGTGACCACGTGCTGGCGGGCGCCGCGCAAAACAATATGGTGAAAGGAGGAAAGTCTCATCCGGGTCCGGGCATACCCGTCCGGCCCTGTCCCCCTCCCCCTTTGGCTTCTGGCGGCTGTTCGCGGTAGCAGAAAGAGCTGACGGTTTTGTAGACCTAGGAAAGATGGCGCCACTAAAACTTTGTATAATAAAAGTTTTGTCGATGATACCAGGTTTTTGACGCATTTATATTTATGTTGGAACGACAAAGATTTATAGAAAAGTTACCTTTTATCGAGCAGGTATTCGCATAACTTGCTATCTTTCTACAAGATTTCCCATTGACGTCACGCCGCGTGTTTCTCATGGCCGCCGCTCGCGGCTGCAGGTCGGGGAATATTTTAAGTTTTGCCTCGCTATTATGCGGCGGAATCGCAACATTTCGATGAAAGGAGGTGTGCTTTCTGTCATTTGGGACAAGGTGAACAATATCAAAAGCAGAAAATGCCAATTCTTTCAACGTTAAAATCGTTGCACAGCTCCTTTAACGTAAAACATTCATTGGCTCGTGGAACCAAAAAAATTGACCATGAGGCTCAACACCGATTGGCTGGGGGGAAGGTCATGTGATCAACACCGATTGGTTAATTCCGATGAGTATGGGAGGTTCTGGAAAAAAGCCGTGTTTTAAAGGGATACTACAACAAAATTTCGGAGCTTATTTCTTAATCTATTCGTGTTCAAGGGAGCAGTATCACATAAGATACACCAATCTCTTGTTGAAAAAAAACACGAAAAAGAATTTTAAAACAAATTAAACGATTAGCAAAGAGCACCTAGTGGATGTCGCTAACATGTCATATTTAAAGCCCGTCTAGGAACCTTGACAGGTAGTGACGATGCCTGTCCGCCTCCGGTCACCACGAGAGAAGAGGGGAAGGAGGAACTCCCCTCTCCCTGAGACTTTCTCTTTTGTGTGTCCCAGTGTTATGTACCGGCGCCACCGGCAGGTGGACTAAGCAGCCGATGCCGCGAGCCTCGTGACAATCGCGTGCTAGTGAGAGCTCGGGCAGTTGTTCCTGGACCGAGAACCGCGATGGACGCACCATCCACACTCTAAAGCTGACAGTAAAGCTTGTATTTATCAATTGGCGACGAGTGAGAGGAACGAACCTGCGGCTTTGAGAAGATGGCGACTCACGGCACCATGGAAGCGTTCTCGGGAAAGGGGTGGTCATCTTGGGTGGAGCGGCTCATCTACTACTTCGAGGCCAACGGCATCAGGGATGGCACTAAGAAACGGGCCGTTCTGCTAACTCTGTGTGGTCCCTCCACATTTGAAACGGTCAAGGCATTGGTGGCTCCCAGGTCTCCAAGTGAGTTGACTTTCGAGGAGATCGTGAATATGCTCCAAGCACATTTTGATCCCCGGCCGGCAGAACTGTTCAGCCGTTGCAAGTTCCAATGGCGAGATCAACAGCCCGAAGAGTCAGTGACCGCTTACGTCGCTGCTCTTAAGAAACTTGCAGCAGACTGCAATTTTGGGAACGTTCAAGTGACTCCGACGACTAGCACAGCTAGTCTTTCCGTCTCAGCGCTAGCTGCTGGGGCAGCCGACGGCACGGTCAGCACGGTCACAACAGCGGTTTCCAGCAACGCGACGATGTTACCCATGGACATAATGTTGCGCGATCGTTTTGTTTGCGGTCTTCAAAATGAAAATCTCCAGCAGCGGCTATTTGCGGAGCGGGACCTTACGTTTCTCAAGGCGTTCGACATTGCCGTACGAGCCGAGAGCGCCAAGGACCACCAGCGGCAAATAAAAGCAGATTTTCAAGAAATAAACAAAGCGGAAAAAACGCGTCCGGCGCATCGTCGCCAGGAGAAGACGACGCCATCGTCCACGCCCTGCTATCGCTGCGAAGAACTCCACAGTCCTAGTTCTTGCAAGTTCCGAACATCGCAGTGTCGGTACTGCAAAAAGACGGAACACATCGCGAAAGCTTGCTTCAAGAGAAAGAAAAACAGCCAAAACTCCGTACAGGCACTCGAACCACAGGAAAATCATGGCCCCTTTACAGAACCGTCAGGCACGCTGGGTGACTTGTACGCCGTAACACCGCGGCGGGAGCCGGCAGAGAAGGTTATGATAAGCCTGGAGGTTCAGGGTGTTCCTCTCAGATTTGAGGTGGACTCGGGAGCGGCGTTTTCTTTGATCAGCGAACAAACGTTCCGAGCAGCGTGGCCGAGGAACCCTCCGGAATTTACAGACGATAACATCGCTCTGCGTACCTGGTCTGGGGAAGGCATAGAATCTCTGGGAACAATTCACGTCATGGTCCAGTTCAAGAAACTGAAAGTGAATTTGCCTCTTCTTGTGATGAAGCACCCCGGATGTAACCTTCTTGGGCGGAACTGGTTTGCAGCCCTGGGAATTGGCCTCAGCGGCGTGCACCAGGTGGTGTTGGACGGCAGCCTGACAGCCACCATCGAAAGGTACGGGTCAGTTTTTGACGGAAACCTGAACGGCTACAACGGACCAGCGGTAAGCCTAGAACTGGAAGACAACGCGTCACCCAAGTTTCTACGAGCTCGCACTGTGCCATTCGCGCTCAAACCAGCGGTGGAAGCCGAGCTGCAACGTCTCACGGAACAAGGCATCCTTGAACAGACTCAGCACTCGAATTGGGCAACACCCGTTGTAGTGGTAAGGAAGAAAAACGGCAGCATCAGACTTTGTGGTGACTACCGGAGCACCGTCAACGCTGTGACGCTCAAGGCGTCATATCCACTGCCGACAGTGACAGAGGTGCTCGCAAAGCTGCGGGGAGGGAGAATTTTCTCCACCATCGACCTGGCTCAAGCATACCAGCAGTTACGAGTCACCGAGAACACAGCTGACGTTCTTACCATCAACACGATAAAGGGCCTTTATCGTCTCAAGCGACTTCCTTTCGGCGTCTCGGCAGCACCAGCCATTTTCCAGAAATGCATGGAGACAACACTTGCAGGGATAGCCGGTGTCAGCGTGTATCTGGACGACATCATTGTCAGCGGTGCCACAACTGCGGAACACGCCCAGCGCCTGAACCTTGTCCTGTCAAGACTCCAAGAAGCTGGCCTGCGAGCAAACCGTGAGAAGTGCCTATTTGGCGTTCCTGAGGTCACTTACCTGGGCCACACGATCGATGCGGTTGGTGTTCATCCAACCAACGACAAGATCAAGGCGTTCAGGGAGTTGCCAGAACCTACGTCAAAAGCCACGCTGCAGTCGTTCCTCGGAATGCTCGCATTCTACGACAGGTTCTTAGAAAACCGAGCGACTGTAGCCTGCGATCTCTACAGACTACTAGCCAAAAACGTTCCTTGGCACTGGGAAGAGCGCCATGCCCTCGCTTTCCGGAAGTTGAAAGAGTTGGTACTCCGCAAGACAACGTCGGCTCACTACGATGAGTCAAAACCACTGCTTCTGTCCTGTGATGCGTCACCATATGGCGTCGGCACAGTTCTTGCGCAGGTTGACCACGAGGGCAGGGAAGCTCCAATCGCATTCGCGTCAAGAACTCTAGGGGATGCCGAGAAAAATTACTCACAGCTTGATCGAGAAGGATTAGCAGTGGTGTTTGGGGCGATGCACTTTCACCAATACATCACCGGACGAAGTGTCGTTATTATCACCGATCACCAACCACTGCTTGGCATCTTGGGACCGCAGAAGCCGGTACCACAAGTCTTGTCACCCCGAATGCGGCGATGGTGCGTCAAACTATTGGCGTACGATTACAAACTCGTGTACAGGCCTGGAAAACGACACCAGAACGCGGATGTTCTAAGCCGTCTGCCCCTACCTGACAGTGACGACGAGCCTTGCTCACCAGGAGACGTCCTGATGATTGAAGCCTTGACAAGTTCTCCGCTGACAGCAGAGAAGATAGCAGCCATGACATGCGCGGATCCGATTCTGTCCCGCGTCTACGAGGCTGTGCAGCAAGGCAAGCTTCATGAGCTCACGGAGAAGGACTTTACCGCGTACAGAAAAAAAGGCGCAGAGACGTCCACTCAAAGCGGATGTGTCATATGGGGATCCCGGGTGGTCATACCAGCCTTGGCACGTCCTGAAGCCATGAATTTAGTGCATGCTGGACACAAGGGAATTGTTGCCATGAAGTCATCTGCACGCAGCTATGTGTGGTGGCCTGGCATCGACCGCGACATAGAGGACGCTGTTGGCAGCTGCCCCATCTGCCAAGAGTCCAGGAAGATACCAAGCAAGGCACCGCTTCCTACGTGGGATCACGCATCACTTCCTTGGGACACGCTGCATTTGGACTTTGCAGGCCCTCTGGAAGGAAACATGTTCCTTGTCGTTGTAGATGCCTACACGAAGTGGCTAGAAGTGCGAAGCATGACTAGTGCCACATCTGCAGCGGTCATCAAAGAAGTCCGAGGTATGTTCGCAACTTTTGGACTGCCTCGCAAGATTGTTTCTGACAACGGAAGCGTCTTCGTATCGAAGGAGATAACAGACTTTTATGAAAAGAATGGCTTGAAGTTTGTGACCAGCGCTCCGTACCATCCAGCGACAAACGGCCAAGCCGAGCGCATGGTTTACGAACTTAAGCAAAGTTTGTCAAGAGAGAAAACGGGATCGCTCTCACTGAGAATTGCTAGATTCCTGTACAAACAACACAACTCAGTTTGCAGCTCGACAGGAAAAACACCAGCATTTTTGATGTTCAACAGGGAGCTTGCTACTAACATCAGTAGACTCCTTCCTCGTCGAGAAAGTAGTCACAAGGAACGAGATATGGAAAAGACACCGCCGTCCAGGGTATTTCAAGAGGGACAGGCAGTCTATGTCCTAAACTTCAAAGGAACCCCCAAGTGGATCCAAGGAAAGTTGACCAAAAGACTTGGAATTCGCTCCTGGCTGGTAGAGACAGCAACTGGATCAACCCGCCGCTACGTGGATCAAATAAGGCGTCGATTTACGACATCGACTCCATCGGCTGAGTGGTCTGTTCCTGCTCCTGTTTCGGACTCTCAACAGGATCACACTACCGAGAGATCGTCATTTCAAGATAATTCCGAGACGACGCCGGAACATACGACAGGCGCCGGAAGCGGAAGAAGGGAGCAACCTCCAAGAAATAGGCACCCTCCAGAACGCTATGGGAGCTACATCTGAGGGGGAAGAGGTGTTATGTACCGGCGCCACCGGCAGGTGGACTAAGCAGCCGATGCCGCGAGCCTCGTGACAATCGCGTGCTAGTGAGAGCTCGGGCACTTGTTCCTGGACCGAGAACCGCGATGGACGCACCATCCACACTCTAAAGCTGACAGTAAAGCTTGTATTTATCATCCAGACGTCGCTTTGTCCCTCGACAAGATTAAAGACGATTAACCCGTCACTCAAAACTCATACAAAAGTAGCTTTGGGGTTAGTTGCAGTGGCCCGATTGCTGACGTGCTTCAGCCGCTTCGGTGGCTGGAATGGCTAGGAATCCTGTGGAAGTCAGCCTCGCCATAGCTTTGCTCGTCACGAGACAATATATGTCACGATTGCGCCAGATGTCACGTGATCTCCGCTGGCTGCTCTCCAAGCGCCTGCCATAGTGGGCCATTTATAACGAAAAATACAGCCATCAGGCTCAAGATACAAATGCGGGATTGCCATTTACGGATATTGTGGAACATATTCAGCCTGTTTCTGAACACGACGGGTATACTTTCGTTGAAGTATCCCTTTAAAACCCTACTAGTGCCAGTACCTTCACTCCAGGAACTGCCATCAAGCTCATATTAATTAATCTTGTTTTTGCTAGCTGAAAGATGTCATGTTCTGTGCTCCGTCCTATTTGTGTATTCTTTCGTGCGTAAAATGCCACGTGTCAAGTAATCTAACAAAGAGCGCTATGAGCGCAGGCGCCGGACCTGGTAACGCTCCGGAGCGATATCGGAATGTTTCACACGTAACACAATTGCCCAGCAATTTACTACACAATTTTTTTATTTTTTCAATTGATTTGCTAGTTTTGGGGGACGCTACTCAGAAAGCCTTCAGCTTTCTTTTGTTTATACAGTCAAATCTCGTTAATTCAAACTCAAAGGGGATCTAAAATTTGTTTGAATAAAGCAAAGTATGAATTACTGGGAGTTTCCTCCCATCAACGCATAGGATGGGACGTGCATGTTAGTTTGGATTATTCACAAATTTGAATTAAGAGTTTTAATTAACGCGATTCGACTGCATTTTCAATTGATGCTTTAGTTCAGTTTATAAGTTTATTCCTTGTGACTTGCAAAGATGATGTAAGCCACAGCCAAACTTTTCGGCAGTTTGATACTTTAGCCCCAGGTTCCAGGAAAAAAAGCAGCCACCAGATGGCCAAAATAAAAAAAATATGCTTTTCGCGTAAGGCTTGTCAAAATATTAGGTGCTGGAGAAAATTAGCCGTCAGCGTTAAGTCCTTCTTTCAAACTCTTTGTTCATGTTCTGCCCATTGAAAAGCATGGCAAAGGAGCCCGTGTATGCACCTGATCTCACCACACCACTGTCTCCTTCCACACAATGTAGTATGTCTGCTAGGGTCGCCGAATGTCAACGGATGCACACGCGAACGCAACATCTGAAGACAGCTACAGTTATGCCATTTTCCAAATGACGTCTGCAACCAATGCTAGCTTGGGCTCCAAGTTAGGCTTCCAAGCAGACTGCGCTAGGCATAGACTTCTCGCTTCACTCCGCTCAAGGAAAATTATAATTATAATCTCAGGCCCGAGCGTGCACCAAGCCTCATCGAAACCGCCAAAGGTTCCTTGGGCAACTACTTTCCACTCTCAGCATCAACTTCCACAATGGCGTGTCCGACTTTGGCTAGCGTCACCGCATTCACTTTAGCAGATGGTATTCGGAAGATGTTGTCCGCTTTAAACGCTGCACTTGCACGTTCATCCATGAAGATGGTTTGCTGCCATGGTGACAGTGACCATAGCAGACGGACTTTGTCGTGTGGAAGAAGAAGGCAGTGTATCACGATCAGGTGCATACTTGGAGTCTTTTGTCATGCTTTTTAATAGGTGGAATGTGTTGTATTTCAATTTTTCTCATTTAAGTTCTCCATGCTACATAGACGGCACCACCAACTGCCACAGGGATCTACTGTAGCCAGGTGGCACCACTAGCCACCATCAGGCCCATGCCTTCAGGCCAATGGCCCCGGGACGTTCGATCCCCCATGTTGTTTACCGTTACATAAACAGTATAATTAAAAGTAGACTAGCTGATGTGTCTTCCCTTGCGGGGCTTTCCTGCCCTTGAGATCCGCCGGTCCTCGCCTCACCACTTCAGCACGTGAGACCTCGTCTTTTCAGCAGGCCGCCTCGGCCTTTTTCCTTATTATTAGGGGCAAAGTTCCTTAGGGTCTAGCCTTGTCCGGCGTCCGTGCTCACATCGATTGCACTGCCTCCAGGATCGACCCACTTTTAAAAAAAGAAAATGTACGCCCGCACGGGGGTTTGAACTTAGGACCACTTGCTTACGAGGCAGACGTCTTAACCACTACGCTACACTCCAACATTGCATGTAGCCGCTCAACGTCTATACAGGAGTGGGCGCTGCGGTCAAATGCGTATATAATCGCGTTAAAACTTTGCATGCATTGGCTCAACGTTTATAGACGAGAGGGTGCTGCGGTCAAATGCTCAACTGCGTATATAGCCACAATCCATACCACACATTCTCTTTTTGACGTGGACCGTTGACTTAAGCGGTGGAGATGCATTCCCACGGCTTCTAGCGGATCCAAGCTGATCCGCTAGAAGAACCACTGGCTCTGCATTTCACCGACCATAAAGCAGTAATAATGAAGTCGAAGGGCAACCCGGAACTGAGCAATACCTATGAGCAATAAAAAAAAATCAGCACCATCAGCACTACCTATGAACAATAAAATCAGTATCATCAGCACCACCAGAGCTTTGCCCCAATCAACATCATTCAACCCTGTGGAGATGCGCCCTCTTTTTTTTTGAGAGCTCTTCGAATCACAACAGAATGTGAACAAAAAGAGTTCGAAATAAGAACGTAATGCAGATGGCTGATTTTCTCCAGTGCCCGATATCTTGACGAGCCTTACAGAAAAAGTATGTCTTTAGCTCGCAATCTGGACGAAGTGTTTCGTACTGCAGGATCGGGCTAAACTACCTATGTGCCAACCTTGTAACTGATACTTTTGGCAGGTGACAAATGAGTGCTTGATATTTTAGGAAGCACGGCATGTTGCATAGCTAATTACAAAAGAAAATCTGTCTACATGTCAGTGCTTCCTACATGCCAGTAAAGCTGTGAACAAGGAGTAGGCCTGTTGCTACTGGGATACACAAAAGAATTCAACCACTTACCTGTACCAATAAATATAAATTCCTATCAGTGTCAAAGAAAGCTACAAAAGATTGGACTATATCGCTAAACACAAAAACAAAGCAACTGCAGAGCAAAGAATGGTACAGAAAGCAGGGGATCTGAACATTCTCATGAACTGATTGAATTCTTCCTACCTTCTTTTGACTCCTCGTCAAGGCAGCTTTCGTAAAGTGCAAACTTGTGAGGATTGTCTGCCACCTTGAACTTCTTCAGCAAGGCAACTATCAACTCTCGGGCAGTGTATTCGCTGCAAGAATAATACAGCCTATAATTAAGAATTTAATAGAACAAAAAGTTAAAGCAACGGCTTAGAAAAAATGAGCAAGTAGTCCCTATACAAAACAGTTGGAATACCCCAGGAGGCATGCAGTAACAGAAATTTTTATGCAACAGACAATAGCATGTTAGTACACTAGAAATTCATTTAAAAATATATTTAAAGTGTTCTTGAGGCCTTAATTTCAGTACTGTAAACAATTTCTTGCACAGACTCATTTATAATAGGGAGCTTAAGCAGATTGTTTCAATAATGATACCCAATATTCCGAAAGCACCTTTGCACATGCATCATATTGTTGTTGTTTATTGCTATCGGCGTTATCGGAATGATCTGCTGAAACCCCCTAATTACAAAAAAGAATACAAAAATCTATAGAGCAAATTAAAAACTTTGTAACAGTGAATACTTCGCAAATCAGCTAACCTCGGTCCAGGAATTTTGTTACTGCAAAATATTCTGTAGAGACATTCTGAACAAACCATGAAGCGCATCTCCACTTTTTTCCAGTGCACCAAAATTTTCCTGGCTTTCCTTGCCACCAGCCATATCTCACATTATACTGAATGAGTGTATTCAACGAAAACTAACTGCCCATTTGGAAAAAAAACGTGTATGATCTGGTCATTCAGTGATCAAGCTTAAGAATAATAATAATGTGGGACTATTTTCTGAAGTGAGCATGTGGCTGTATTGGACTCACATCGCCAAAGACGCCCATGAATATAAAATTGCTGGTAGTTATGCGACATGCATTAAAACAAAGGACGGGGGAACAAACAAAAAAAAAAGAGGCACACAAATGTTCAAAAGTTTGACCTCATATTAAAAATTGAGTAAGACTTTACACTTCGAGAACAGCACTATTTTTACAGTCTACCGAAAGTACCAAGCAAACATCCACACAACAGCTGGAGATGATCGCAAAAAGATGTGGATGCTCCCTTGTTAGGTTTGAAGAAAAAAGCAGAAGCAGCATGCCCAACTCGCCCAACTATCCATTCTTCTAAGCAGAAGCAGCATGGTAGGCTTTTGTATGATCTGGCAAAACGGTACGGGGTGATATGTAGGTCTGGCAGAACCCCTAGCTTTACCGCTTTGCACTGGTGCATGTGCGTAATGCTTCACTGCACTGCACTAGCTTGTTGAAGAGGCAGTTGACGTGGTGGAGCTCCTTGGTTAGCTTGGTGAAGCTTGCCAGCAAGGATTTTTCACGTGTCCTTTAACTGTATTTTGCATGTTTCAAACGTAGAAAGTGGGCACTTCTTGCAACGTGGGTGCACGTGTCGTGTCTTACGGTTTGCGCATATAGGAATTAAGAAGACCAGACTATGAGGTTTGTGGTACTCAGACTCACTGTTAGGGCAATCAAGAAAATATGAAGTTTGGTCATAAGAAGAGAGAGATTTCCTCTCCATCTACGAAGTGGGATGTATCTACTGTATGGTCACTAACAAAGAGTTTCTTCACTCCTTTATGCAAACAAGCCTTCTACCAGAAGAATGGGCCTCGGGTCATTTTTCATGTTTCATCCACCGTTGGCGGCAGCTCACACCACTAGAGGTGCCAACAAGATTACCTATGCAAGCAGGTTGCTTCCTGACCCCAGCTTTCAAGTGTATAAATATGCTGTTGCAATAAAAGCCTTTGAGGTAGTGTCACAGCAAATTCTACTCTAAACTCAAATATGCCATTAACCTTGTAATGTGCAGGGCTTTGATGGTGTCCTTGGGCAGGTAAAAAGATGTCAGCGTCTTCCTGCCGCTATCCTCCTCTTCTTTAAGGATGTTGTAAATGGACGGCGGCCTGGTCCCAGCCAGAACGTTGATCGGGCGCATTAGATTCATGCGCACCCGCACAAAACCACGTACGGACCCATCTTCTTGCTGAAATGAACATCCCCATTCAGGGATAAGCAAAATACACTCCTTGCAAGGATAGTGCCCCTCCTCTACAAACTTTCACTATTATTTGTGCATGCAAGAATGGTAATCCTCAAATTGCTTCCTATTTGTAACATACACTGTCACCATCACCGAGCGTCCTTCTTTGCCAAATGAAGTTAGTCAAGTTGTCAAAACTGTTAGAATGGGCTTCCCATTATCGGCAAAGAGGGTGAATGTGAATCCAAACGAATACCGTAATAATATAATGGCTCCAACCCGTGCCTAGGGTGTGGTGTGTGATGGCCGTGCATGCAACTGTCACAACGTTGTCGTCTTCATTTTACTTCTTACTACCTTCTGTCAGTATGTAGTGGCAGATTTTATTGTTTTCTACTCGCATTAGATGGTGACACTAGGCCAATTGTACTTTGCTCGAAGCAGCCATAGGTATGGCAGACAAGCCCAATGGTTAACGAGTGTTTATATTGTTCCCAACAGCACATGTATACGAGCTTTAAAAAGCTGCTTACAATTTTCAATATAGTCTGAATAAGTTAACTGACATATGAACTCGTTTTCCATTTCAATCTCTACCACTGTCGGCCTGTACAACAGTTTCCAGGCTCGAATTTTCATGGTTTATAGCATGCTCCTATCACATTTTAATTCCAGTCCTTTCAGTGCCCTCAACAAGAATTGTGATACCCACAAGAATCTCACCAGAATCATCTCAAGCCCTGGATCCTGATGATTGTAGCTGGTGATTCTAGACAACAGCTCATCCTTTGGCAGATCCTCAGGAAACAGAGGAGATAAACGCCCCTGTTTGGGGTTTGAGAATCCTGTGTTAGTGAAGTATACTTAAATCGAAAATAACAACGCAAGAGTGACAAAGCTACAAGGAAAAACTAACATTTTGCCCATTTTTTTGCTCATCAGATGATCCTGAGGATGGAGTGTTCAAGTCTTTTGTCTCCATCTCACCCCGACCTTTGCAGTCTAGTGTGACAAGGTCTTGACACCTGAGGTGGCACGTGAAACTGCAGTCTGAAAGAGAAAAGCATGGTCCTTAAACTAGCAGGTAAGTTAGGGCAAGACATCTGATACAAATAAAGAATACCCACCCTATACACTATAAAGGGACTTTCCTAGACAATGGTGTACAACCAGCAAGGCCGATAGAGTATTAGCAACGAGCGAGTCTCGAAAATACTACCCTGTGTCAAATTTTTGCTATGTTTCACAGCTCTTCAACTTTCACATTAAATTTCTTAATTTCTTCAAACACATTTCCAACCTGTGTAATTGAAAAACAAGACGTTAAAAAAAAATAACAATGGCTGACAATTGGGGTCAATAAATTCAGAAATCGCTTACTCAGGCATTGGAGGCACTGTTGGGATGAGCAGGCCCCCCAGACAAAGTCTCCGCACCGGTCACACCAGGTTGGATTCTTGAACTGCACTGGCTCAAAGTTATGGCCGATTCCACTCTCCGTCGGCTCGATTTCCACCACTCCGAAATTGGCAAGCTCAATGAACTCCGACCGTCGGAATGTTTTTGGCCGTGCAATCCTTGGGTGATACAGTGTCCGATATGGTGTTGGAAAGCCGCTGGTGTTTGAGTTTTGCTGTTGGATGAAAGAGGACAAGCATTTGCGAAAACGTAGGATTGCAGTTTGTAAAACTGCCAAACAACCAGATGATGCTAATCTTCTCAGAGCCATGGCACATTTTCTTTCTACCTATGAAAGCTGTGAACACAAGTTATTATGGAAGGTGATGCCTCCACACGTGTGCACAAGCTACGAATTTGTGTTCACAACTTGCGCTTCAAGCAGGGACATGGACAAGACAAACTTGGAGGGGGGTTACCTGCCAAATTAATTAAGGGCATTTGGAACACCGCAATGAAGGACTGAGGATTATTTAGACCACCTAAAGGAAATTCTGATGTGCAACAGAGATTTCGGTTACATGGCACCTTCTCCACGTTAAGGGAGCTGTGCAACGATTTTAACATTGAAAGAATTGGCATCTTCTACTTTTGACATTATTCACCTTGACACAAATGATAGAAAGCACACCTCCATTCATCGAAATGTTGCGATTCCGCCACGTAATAGCCAGGCAAAAATTAGAATATTCCCCGACCTGCAGCCGCGAGCGGCGGCCATGAGAAACACGCGGCATGGTGTCAATGGGGGTCGATGGGGGTCGATGGGGGTTAGAAAGATAGCAAGTTGTGCGAATACCTGCTCGATAAAAAGTAACTTTCCTATAAATCTTGTCATTCCAACATAAATATAAATGCGTCAAAAACCTGGTATCATCGACAAAACTTTTATTATATGGAAGTTTAGTGATGCCATCTATCCTAGGTCCATAAAACCGTCAGCTCTATCTGCTACCGCGAACAGCCGCCAGAAGGCGGAGGGAGACAGGGCCGGACGGGTATGGCCGGACCCGGATGAGACTTTCCTTCTTTCACCATATTGTTCGCACTGCGCTCGCCAGCACGTGGTCACACGGTCGCGAGCGGATGAGCTCTTGCTGCTCACTGATGGCTCTAGAGAGAGAACTTTACCGGAACCCCGCACCTACCCCATCGACGTCACTGCGCACGTGACCCGGAAGACGATGTACGAGTTGAGAGGTAGCAAAAGCCCGGATCTTTTTTTATTTTTTTAAATAAAAACTAGGGTTTCCAGGCAAAATCTGTTTTCTGTAATTCACTTCAGAAGTGTCAGGCATCAACTTCCACAATTATTTAAGCAAAGCTCTGACATTGTTGCACAGCTCCTTTAAGCCTTTGTCGAAATGTGGGCACTTCAATCAAGATTCGAACCGGCCATCTGGGGATTCGTAGGCCAGGGCTTTGCCTTGGAGCAACTAAAAGACAAGCCAAGCTGGTCTGTCACACTCACACTCGTAAGTTTGTGAGGAGTAATGACATAAGCTGCCGTACATGTCCACTTTGTTATATCAAATAATCTTTAAGAATGTCATATCATACTGTGGGTTCAACAAGCATGACATAATAAAAATAATAATAATAATATCTATATCTGGTTCTGGAGAGCTGCGGCACCATGGAAAGGTAACAGCCCGTAACTTGGAGGCCCGTGATGCCGTGTCTAATGAACATGACAATGAGATGAGTAGCCCTATATACATGAAAGATGACAACGAGATGGATTGCTGTTATTGCAGAGGATGGCAGTTAGATTTGAAGATGTCCAGATTACGTTGAGGTGGGTCAGCAGCGAGCCATGGGGATCTGGCACGCCGTTTGATCGGTGCATATAGCACAAAAGAGCCCCAGGAGTATGGTGGTGCTGTTGCTCACAGGGGTCGAAGCAACAGGCACCAAGGAGGTAGCCCAGTCAAAGTAGAGAGATGCCACCTTTGTGGTACCAAGGCCCAGGGCTCAGATTGAGGCACCGCCGTTGCCTGGTGCGACATCCCCTCAACGTTGTCATGATTACAATACGGCATGCGGAGTAAGCTCAGTGCTTACCTTGGGCTTCTTCTTGCGGAATGGGAGAGGGAAGTTGAAATTCTGGAGGAACAGACTGGGGCTGAAGCCCTGCCTGAGTCTGTTCTCCTGGTACGCGATGCCCTTTTTGGGTGTCACGGGCGGGGTCAGAAACTTCGGCGTATACTCCTTCTGGGCCTCGCTCGTGGACATGCTGCGGGTGAGGCGATAAAAGAAGCAATGTACACGGGCACTCCCGTACAACTCAAAAGCCAAGCCAGTCTCCTAGGCTCCGCTATCGCGAAACGAGACACGAGCGAAATAGGAGTCTCGCACGCGTTTTACTTATCGCTCTACAAGGCGTTTTCCCCACTGGCTGCGCCCAATGCGCCAGACAAGAAACAACATAGCGAACACAGATACACAGAGAAAAGTAACCACGCCGGTCGTTTCGAGATGGCGTTACATAGCACAGCAAGAGGCCCGTGAACGCGTGCCTCCTCACATTTATAAACAGGCGCAAAAATAAACACGTCAGTTGCTATTTCGAGGTTACAAGGCGAGTGTACCGGGTTGCAGTCGATTCCAAAGCCGCGAGTATATCGGGTTGAAGCCGATTTAAAAAAAAAAAAACAAGTTCCGCTTCGACAGGTAGTGTAAACTCTGACTGTTTATAGTCAGGAGAGCAACCCAACGAATGCTCAGAGACACGGCTCGAAACATGATCGTTTTCAGTGTGCATCGCGGGAAGGTGTCCATGTTGCGAAACAATATTTTTACCTGTGGTTTCCAGGTTTGGTAGATGATCCAGCCTGCCGCTTATCACCGTTCGGATCACCGCGAGCTTGACACACCAGTTTTCAGATCGTCTCAACGCGGATTACTCATATCTAACACAATAAAATGGTACCCCAGTGCCTGATGCGTGGCAAACAAGGAAGTGCTGCTGGAAGGCAACATTTCTTGAACGAGCAAAACATACGAAATGCGAGAAAAAGATCGCGACAAGGCGCCTCCTCTGCTCCGAAGAAAAACACGCGCAGACGACACTCACGTAACCAATGGCAAATATCGCTCAATATTTCTAAGCTGGGTATTAAGTTACACTTTGCTGTCATTTCAGTTAGTATTTTCATTTTTCATATATTTCTCAACGATAGTTTTTTTTTTTTTTTTAAAGTTGTAGACTTTTGGCACTTATCGCGAAATTTAATCGCGAGCGATATCAGGTTCAATGGCGTCCTGCTGGCGGCAGAAAAATCTGACGGGCCAGCCAGCCACGGGGCCACGGTATCGGGCAGTATCTCGGGTCGGCTGAAAACAAAAACAGTAAAGATACGAATAGCGCAATAATCTCCGCGAAGCTGACTGTCTAGACGCTTGGGTCACTTTTGGAGGGTATGCGAAGGATCATGGCCGAAGTGGAAATTGCAAAGGCTTTGCAGCTCGTTCGAGAAAAAGTCATCGCGGCTTCGAAGGAGCGCTCCGGCCCGCCGGCTCGTCTCGTCGCGGTGAGCAAAACCAAGCCAGCTGAACTGCTGATCGCAGCCTACGAAGAAGGGCAACGCCACTTCGGTGAGAACTACATCCAGGAGTTGGAAGAGAAAGCGAACAGTCCGGAAATTCAGACTGCCTGCCCCGAGATCAAGTGGCATTTCATCGGTCGTCTGCAGCGCAACAAAGTCGCCAAGCTCGCGAAGGTTCCAAACTTGTTTATGGTGGAGACATTGGAATCGTCGAAAACGGCTATGGCTTTGAACAGTTGCTGGGCTTTGAACGGCCTGCCTCCGTTGAACGTGATGGTGCAAGTAAATACCAGCGGCGAAGAGCAGAAGAACGGAGTTGAACCTAAGGAAGCCGCTTCGCTCGTAGAATTCGTTTTGAAGGAGTGTCCGAACCTTAAGTTCTCCGGTTTAATGACGATTGGTATGGCGGAGTACGACGCCACCGCCGGTCCCAACCCGGACTTTGTGAGCCTGCTTAAGTCTAGGGAAGAGCTCTGCAAAGAACTCAACTTGGACGTCGGCGCCGTGGAGCTCAGCATGGGAATGTCTGCGGACTACGAAGAGGCTGTGCGTATGGGTAGCACCAACGTTCGCGTCGGCAGCACCATTTTCGGACCGAGAAACTACCCTGCGAAGGTCTAGTTTACGACGCGTTATGCTTATGCATGAAAATTCCTAATACGGTATCCAAAAACTTGATTTTGTACTTCTCGACAGGGCATCGGATCGTTTGTAAGTGTTATTCGTGATCGGCTTATTGACTAGCTGACGCCTTGTTTTTCTTCTGAACTTGGTAAACAAATAAAATATTACTTTTTGTGCTACGATTTCAACTTTTATTTTCCAGTGTAGGGAAGTACTTGCACTTTTTCTCGAATATGATTTAGGAGCATGCGGTACTTCTCCTTCACTTGGAGTACATTTCTCTGCTAATTTCCAATTAACGTACAATAGTTGACTTCAATGTATTGTTGCGATAGGCCTTGGCGAAGGTCACGTCCTTCCTTCGCCTCCCCTTCTTTTCTACCCGGCGGGGTTTGGCCTTCGCATTTAGGATCGGCGACCGGCCGTCTGAGCCGTTGTTGACAGAACACGTCGCCCGGCGCCGCGTGGACGCCGCCACACCTGGGAGCGGAGCTGAGCCGGACTCTTCTCTCTGGCTGCGGGGGTCAGTCCATCCAGGAACCAGCTGCCCTACCGGGAGAGGATTCCGGGGGACGACGCCGGCGGCGGGACTTCCGGCTGAGTACGTTCGGCTCAAGTTTTCGTCCGGCGCCACTTGCGGATTATCCCGCTAAACCTTTCCCGAGCCACGACTCCGCATAATGAGGGGATCATCTCCATCACGGTCAGCGTCTGACGGGCTGTGGGCTGACAGCGGACCCTTCGTCACAAACTCCTGGCGCGGCTTATCGAGGTCGAGAATGCCCCGGCGCCGGATTGGGAAGCCCGTCCGACGCTGCAGTGTGTGCGTGTATGTGTGTGCGCGCTCGAGAGGATGAGTGGGGGCGGGGCCTGAACATGACGTTCGTTGGCAGTTCGGCCATCATTGGCTGCCAACCGCTGGAAAATCAACAGCGACTGTATAAAAAGAGCAAACGAGAGGCCGCAAGGTGTGCTCTCCGACGAACAAGAAACTTCTGTACACATGTATTAAAACAGAGTTTATCGCGAGACACCCTCCCGTCTCCTGATGTCCCTGCCTGGAGTCGGCCTGCGGTTCCTGTCCTCGCCTGGCCCTGCCTGAGGCTGCCTGGGGAACCCCTCGGTCGCAACAACTGGTTGGCAGCGGCGGGATGGCGTGCCTGCTCATGGTTCCTGGTAGGGGTGAGTGCTTTGCAATTTTCCCTTGATTTGCAAGACCTTTTGCTCAGTGTTAGGTACGCGAGTAGAAGGCTGCCCTTTCGGCTCAGAAAACGCGAAGTTCAAGCTGTCTGAGTTAGATAGGGGAGGGAGATTGCGACACTCGGGATCATGGAAGTCAGTAAGCTACGCATTCCTGAGTTGGTGGCGGTATGCGAGGAGCTTGGTATAAGCGTGGGGCAGGCAAAGCGAAGGAAGCCGATCATGGAGCTACTTCGCGAAAAGGAAGTGTCCGACGTAGAGCTTCAGGAGGCTTGGGAGCTGATTCGGGAGCTGAACGAAAGAGCGAAGGCTGAACGGGAGCGGGACGAAAAACGCGAACGTGAACGCGAGAAGCGGGCTCGTGAATTGGCGGAGAAAAGGCTCGAGATTGAAACGTTGATGCAGGAAGTTCGGTCTCAAAGAAGAACGGTAGTAGTAGAGGTCACAGACTCGAAGTACCTAGCAGCGACATTTCCTCACTGGTTCACGTACGAGGGTGATCCGAAGCCACGAGAAAAAGACCTTGTGTCCAGGAGGGAAAGAGCGGTTGCACCAAGCGGAGCTAGAACGCGTCAGGTAGCGGCAGAGACGGTGGGTCAGAAAGAAAAGGTTGAAGAGGAAGGGTTCAATTTAACCGACGACCAGGGTCTTTGTGCCGACGGGACTACCGACGCCGTTCCGCACAACGCCGACTCCAGACCTGAAGCGCTGGAAGTTGGAGGGGATCCCGCCAAAAGAAGGGAAGAGGCCTCTCAAGCATCTGACGTCTGCTTCCTGGGGGACGAAGACAAGGCCAGCATGGTGATGCCGCCGCGGAAGTCTATCCAACTCGAGGAAAACAACGTGGAGAAGTCAGCGGATGGGGAGGCGGAGCAGGAAGTGGGTCGTCCTGGTCGTCCCCCGTGGAACTCTAAAACCAAGCCGGGGCTGGACGAGCGAGACCAGAGTCAGGGGTGCTCGGAAAAAGCGTTTGGTTCAAGCCGTCCTTCTGGAAAGAAGGAACAGAAGAGGAGGCAGCGCAGGGTCAGCGTTTTCCGTCCTGCACCGAACGATTCTGATCAGCAACGTCAACAGAGGCGCGACGCGTCGAGCCAGAAGCAGAAGTCGTCCAGGCCGGAAAGGGGGAAGCGCGGAGGCACTCATCCCAAGGATCCATCAGCCGGCGGCGGCTGCAAGAGAAAGGGATCCAAGGGGAGCGCGGAGAGAACCAGGCTGGATGAGAAAAATCCGGAGCAGGGTCCCTCGAAAACCTCGTCTCCATTGCAGAACGACATCGGGTGTCCATCCAGACGGAAAAGACATAGGAGGAGGATGCAGCCCGAGATCAGCGTTCTCCGTCCTGGTGCGGACATTTCTGATGAAGGGCATTTTTGGAAAGCTGGCGAAGGCGAGTCTCGCAGAAGGGAGCGGTTGTCGAGACTGGGACACAGAAATCCCGCGGATACTCATACCAAGGAAGTATTGACGGACAGCGGCTGCGAAAGCAAGGGGCTTGGCTGCGACAAGGAAGAGTTAAGTCTGGGCAAGCGAGAAGATCCGAAGCGCAGGCGGTCCGAGAGGTCATCCCGATCATGGCACGGCAAGTCTGATGGCGACAATTCAGGCGCCGAAATGAGCGGGCCGTTCACTCAAAAGAGACCCAAGAAGAGAAGGCTGCGCAGGGTCGGTGCCCTCCAATCCGGCCCGGCCCCATCCAATCAACAACGTCACCAGAAGCTGAAGAGGAGCAACTCCAGAAAGAGAAAGCCGTCGTCTGGGCTGGGAGACGGAAATCGTGAAGATATCCACCCCAAGAAAGCACCAACCGACAGCGGCTGGAGGAGCAAGGAGCACAGCGGTGACGCTAGGAAGCCAAAGCTGAAAAAGCAAAAAGGTTCGAAGCAGCGGCGCTTTAAGAGGCTCAGTGCGCGCAACTCCAGAAAGTTCTCTTCGAGGCCGGGAGAAAGCAAACGCCAGGACACCTATCCCAAGGAGCCATCGATCCAGACCAGAAGTGCGAGCAACGGGGCTGGAGGCGACACCAGCAAATCTACACTAGATGCGGAAATGACGAGACAGAGCCGCTCGGACGAGAAGAACGAAGGCTGCGAGGAGTCACGGAGCGTAAGGAAGCCGAGAGTCAAGCCGTCACATTCGTCTCATGCTTCCACGACGAGAAGAGAAGATGATCGACAGAATGCAGGAACCTTGCTGGACAAATCCTCAATCTCGTCCAAGTACCTCGGGTCCTATGAGTGCGTGCTCGCCTCGCAGCTTGTTCTTCAGCGGGAGATTAAGTCAGATGCGGAAATCAAGTCAGAACTTTCCGACTGTGGCTTTGAGGAAACCTTCGAGTCTGGGGACCAGGGCTTTTCTGGTGAGAGTGGCACCCAGAACAGACTGGGTGTAGGTTAGAGCGCAAGTTCTCGCCAGTGAAAGCGGACGAGGCAGAGGCCGCCAGAAAAGGGGAAAGCTTAATTTGAATGTCTTTTCCTGAAGTCGGCTTGGCAGGTGGTATGAATAGCTTTTCTTTTTCGGGAGTCTGAGTTTTGCGTGTTGTTCGGCTTCAGTTCGTTGTGTCGGCGGTAGAGTTCTTTTAAAGCGGTTTTATCCTCGGTATCGGTTGCCTTATGGAGGACGCGTTTGAATTTAATAGGGATATGTCCTATGTAAGTTACGTAAAGGTACGCAATGTGTCCTTTTCACGGGAGTCCGTTTTCACGTTTTGTTGAGCCGCAGTGCGTTGTGTTAGCAAGCTCTAAAGTTTATTTCGCTTCACGGTAGTAAGCCTTCGAGGCGAGGTAAAAAGGGGCACAGCTAAAAGAGGAACGCTGATTATCGAAGCCTAAGACGTGAACGAGCTCCATGATCGGATTGTACAAATTTGTAAAGTGTTTTTGTTTGTTTCAAATCCTTGGAAAGGGTCATCTTGATTTTTTTATTGTGTTTTTATGTCAAAGCACGCTACCATAGCTTTTGTTTCTGTTTGCCTGGTTTAGGGTATGGTTTACTTTAAAGGGCTTATTGACAGCCTGAGCTCGAGTGTCGAGTGAGGGAGATTTTAGGTAGTAGGTGGAGGGGGTTGTCTTTTTTTTTTTGGTCTGGCGGATCGGGGGAGGAAAGCGAAGCACTTGTCGCCACTGGGATCGTGACTTGCTATGTTTGTCTCGCCCACGCCTTCCTCTTGTGACCTGAGTTGAGGTCCCCCACTCCAGAGATTTGGACCCGACCCTCGCCTACGTCTCAAGGCAGGAGATGATCACCGGACCCTCTCCCAAGAAAGCGAGGCACTCATCGAGTCAGCGCAGCAGTGTGGGACTGCTGCCCTCCTGATGAGCTCAGTGGCGGCGGAGGTGTTGTTGCGATAGGCCTTGGCGAAGGTCACGTCCTTCCTTCGCCTCCCCTTCTTTTCTACCCGGCGGGGTTTGGCCTTCGCATTTAGGATCGGCGACCGGCCGTCTGAGCCGTTGTTGACAGAACACGTCGCCCGGCGCCGCGTGGACGCCGCCACACCTGGGAGCGGAGCTGAGCCGGACTCTTCTCTCTGGCTGCGGGGGTCAGTCCATCCAGGAACCAGCTGCCCTACCGGGAGAGGATTCCGGGGGACGACGCCGGCGGCGGGACTTCCGGCTGAGTACGTTCGGCTCAAGTTTTCGTCCGGCGCCACTTGCAGATTATCCCGCTAAACCTTTCCCGAGCCACGACTCCGCATAATGAGGGGATCATCTCCATCACGGTCAGCGTCTGACAGGCTGACAGCGGACCCTTCGTCACAAACTCCTGGCGCGGCTTATCGAGGTCGAGAATGCCCCGGCGCCGGATTGGGAAGCCCGTCCGACGCTGCAGTGTGTGCGTGTATGTGTGTGCGCGCTCGAGAGGATGAGTGGGGGCGGGGCCTGAACATGACGTTCGTTGGCAGTTCGGCCATCATTGGCTGCCAACCGCTGGAAAATCAACAGCGACTGTATAAAAAGAGCAAAGGAGAGGCCGCAAGGTGTGC